GACTCAGCGCTGAACAAATGACTGGAATCCGCTCAGGATACTTCGCCAGTATCCTTGTTGCTTCGGCCGCGCGCTTCTCGAAAGGAATGCTCCTTGGCGGGCTAGTAAGGCTAGTGTCTTCAGCGGCCATGCTCTCGCCCGCCGCCGGTTACATGCAACCCTGGCCCTGGCTATTCACCACCCAATCTGCTCTGCAAATCAGAACTCCATCCGAAGCGATGTCCTATGAGACATGGTAGCTCCGAAACGTCTTGCCCACGAACGTTCATGGCCCCGCTGGCAGGAGGTGCAAACACAAGACCCCAGCAACCCCATGCTATCCTATGCCCAGACCATACATCCAAGTGGAATCTCTCAAGCACAGAAGTCTCGTCAGGACAGGCGTGACGTGAGTCACGCTCCCGTGCAGAACGGCGCCCTTCTTGGAATATGCAGTCGCCTCTCTGAGTCGGGAGGTCTCACCTCTGAAGCCTCCGCCTTTAGGAACCGCAGCCAGGACGAAGGAAGGAGTGTCAACTGCGCGAACAGGCGGGCTAAAGACCTGGACCTCTCGGAGCGATGATCTTTCGTTACAGAAGAACGAAGCAACTAACATCCAAGCTACTCTTTGACGCCGCTGGTGGCTGCCATCTTGCCGGTCGACCTGCGCGACTCAGAGCTTGATCTGCTCGGTAGATAGGCAGATACGTAGATAGCTAGCTAGGTATAGGTAGGTAAGTAGGCAGGCAGGCAGCGCCATTGTGACAAAGATCAAAACAAAGGGTGCGTAAGCACTGTGACATGCATATGAATTTTACAGGAATGCATATGTGCATACTTCCATACATGCGTACTTACATCCACCCATGCCTGCATGCCGGCATGTAGGTAAACACAAATAATGCACCTACACCTATACATATGCAGTTATACATATACACGCATGCACGAACATGCACATCCTTTTACGCAGACATATACATATACATACAAACAAACTTGTGAGCACATGAACATACAAGCAGATGTACATCTAAGCACGTAGACATGTGCCTATACACTGGCACAGACTACATAGACATAAACCTTCACACATTCTTTAGCACTCGCGCTCGACGCATCAGGCGAGGTGTAGGGGAATCAGCAATACAGCCAACACACACGCACACAAGTACATTTTTGCCTGAGTGCATGCATGATGCATACATACCTGCCCTGCATGCCTGCCTGCCGCCTGACTGCATGCCTGCGTGCATGATTGCGTGCATGCATGCATGAATACATACATTACACTACACGCTACACACTACACACAACACACTACACGACGCAATGCCCTATGCATTATATTCATTATACACTATAACACCATAATTATACACTGCTCTACAGTCACTATACAAACTATACAATACACTGTGTCACCAGACCCCAAACTACACTGTACTACACTACAATACAAAACGTTTCACTACAACTATTACACATGTGCACCCGCAGTATGCCCGAACAACTGCACATACATAGAGGTTCGGTGCGCACAGCTTGCACACGCCTCTGTTGACGAATGTCCATGCAGATTTCCCCAAAAGCCATGTTTACAATTTACAATACTTGCGCGATTCTTCCACGGCCTCAACCACAACTTCGTTCAAGTCAAACCCTTTACGCGTGGTCGTAGGAACTCGGAACGGGGTGGGGTCCATGCTCCCCTTCCGCGCCCCCACGCTTGTAACTTTGTCCATCAGTTGCTTTTCTTGTCTTTTGAGGCTTTGGGACTCCACAAGCCCGACATGACAAGAGAGGCACTCAATTCTCGAGGCGGCCAGGGATCCAAACACTTGGTCAAAGAAACCCGGGCTGTGCAAACATCTGATTTAGCTGGAGTTTCAAGTCATCAGGCCGAGGACATATATGCTCTTGACCGGCACCAACTCCCTGTGTAAGCACACCGTTCCCCTCGGCCTCGCTGAAGTGCTGTACACAGCAACGGCCGGGCTTGAAGAGCGTCAGCTGCGGCAAGGATACACTGAGGTGCTGTCAATACACCTTTGCATGGTACTGGTGTCTTGTTCTGCAGCGGCGCCGGGTCACAAGATTTTTTCTGGCTGCAGAGCAGCTGGCGTGATCCCTTGTTATCCAGTCCCCGGGGCAGTGTTGTGCCTGCATGTCTGCTAAGGCATGGGTCTAGCTTGAAATCTGTCGGGATACCTTGATGCCTATTGCACTATGTATACAAATATACGCATGCATAATTATGTGTGTCTGTGTGTGTATGTGTACAGGATTGTACAGGTAGACATGTCAACAACTGTCCGGCATCACGTCGATCTGGTAGACTGCCCGGTAGACTTGCATCTGAGTCTACTCAGTAGCTTTGCCACAGCCTGCGCCTACGATTCCACCGTGGAATGTGGCAGCAACTGTCTGTTCAAGCACAGCCATTGAAGATGCAAGGGCGGAGTCGCAAATGGTGGAGGACCCCTTGGATGCAGGAGACTTCCATTTCTATGTCAGTACCTCGGAAGCCGGCCTGCACATTGAAAAGCTAAACAAAAAAGAGACAGCACAGCACTATAAGTAAAGCAAGATATGAAGGCTGCACTCGCCTCCGGCTGCATTCCGGTCTGTGCATTCGGACAAAGGCAACGCAGGACTGGGTGGTGCTGGTGGTGGTGGTCGTGGTCGCAGCGGCAGCAGCAGCATGAGGAGTAGTAGAGGGAGAAGAGCAAGAAAGCGGAGAGGAGCAGGAGGACCAGCACGTACAACAGAAGTTCTCGTGGAAAAGCCGAAGGAAACCCATGACAACCGACAAAGTGAAAAATGCCAGTTCCTGAAAACTCGCAATCAAAGACAGCAAAAAGGATAATCAAATATCACATCGGTATCTCAGTACACATCCTGGCAGCCAGATTTCAGGATACCATGCAGAACAAGTGCGAGGCTAGTGCACTTGCGGCAACGACGATCGCGAGCAATGTCATGGACAAACAACTGCCATCTTTGCTGTCGTGAAAACCACCATAGTGACGTCATCATCCTCTTTAGAAGCGGTCGCCATAATGATACCAGAATCCCATCCTGCTCGCTCAGAACCAGAACGCTGGTCATAATTCTGATGAAAAGACTCACCATACTGGTTGCAGATAGACAGGGTAGTTTAGTAAGATGATTTTCTCAGAACATACTCAGACTGGTAACACACGGAAGCTCCGGATTTGCGTCTCAACCCCCGAAGACGAAGAGCCTGGCCAGGCTCTTCAATCTCACTTCAAACAAAGACTACCCAATTTTGTACAACGGAGATTAGCTCCAAGCTTCTCCGTGAATCTATGAAAAAAAGGGCCAGAAGCGTGATCTTCTTATGTTGGCAAGTATCTTGTAGGTACTGTCACACCCTTAAACAAAGTAAAAGGAGTGGAGGCGGCGATCCTACCCTTGGAGAATGAGCTTCCCAGGCTGTACACATGCTGGAAGCTCTCTTGATGGGAAGAGTGGGCAGTCTAAAGGAGCAGATGAGACATTGCCGCTACTTAGTTGATTGGGCACATGGCATCGCTAGAACAATGAAACGTGTCATCTCATAAGCACACTATGAAGAAGCGACAGACCGTCGCTACATCACAAAGCGCAGGAGCATCCTTGTACTCTGCGCTGCCCCCTCCGATCCCACTCCATTCTGCTTCCTGCACGACTTCTCGCATACCTGCTCCCATTTGGGAAATGTTTCGTAAAAGCGAAGGCTTAAGACCCAGCATGACCTTGTCGAGCATATGCAGGAAGGCTGTGATTAACCGAAAGACAGACTTGCACGCAGTCGGCCATGTAAGTCGCCTTAGCATTGAACTGAAATGTAGACTAGAAACGGTCAACCGTTGGCTACAGTTTCCATGTGTCTTGGCAGCATTGCCCACAGTGTCACGGCAAAGTCGCACAGAAAATCGACCCTTGGCACTGACGCATGGCAGAGCAAGCTGGCGTCCCCCGCAAATTATGTTTCTCTACTCTTCATGACCAAGTCTAAAATATCAACATCAGCCAACATTCCTACCAAACGTGCTCGACAAGCTTGGAGGTATTTCACGACACAGGATTGAGTGCAATCTGGAAGGGGTTGATGCTGTAAGTCAAGGTTATCGTAAACCTGAGGGAGAGGACGTGGACCTAGTAGCACCAACACCCCCAAACATACATGGCATTCACAGTCTCTCACACTATACCGAGCTATACCTGCTGTGCAAATCGATGAATTTCGATTCGCCTATGGGCCGAAAGAGAGCAACACTTCTGTCAACAACCTTCACCAGCAAAACCGTTAACTACAAGTCCTTATTCGATTAGATCTGCACTTGGAGTGAGTGGTCGCTGTGCTTCGTTCGAAGCTCTGACGCATTGTGTTTTGACGGTGCTTTGGCTGACACTTGGGCGCACTGTGCCTCGGAGCTTCGTGTATCAAAAACGAACCTGAAACCCCTCGATGCCATGCAATGGTTTTGTTGTGCTCTCTCCTTCTCTCCGTCTTTCTCTCCCTCGCTCTCCTGACCATGTTGCGGAATCTTCAGTAAGAGTATGTCGGTCAGAAAACGTAAGTCCTCCCTGAGATTCATGTAATACCAAGTGGAATCCCCGCTTGCTCCAGCAAAGCAAATGTTGTCCACACGGCAGCTGGGCGATTGGCCACAGCAAGCACGAATTTCTGTCCGGAAGGCCCCCTGTCAGTTGCAGTCTGGCACCTAAGCCTACAGGCCCTGAACGAATGTGCATCATCGTTGAACCACGCAACTTGTAGCGCCATGTCGGGCAATCGGCACCATCACATGAGCTTCTGTTGGTCCCGTTGTAGCTACATACGCTTCGACCTGTCTTGGACAGAGCATTGGTCAGGATTCTTGAGCACCGGCAGTAGCTTCCGGTACAATATGGCTACAAGGTGCAGAGCCACAGCATCCTTGCAGTAGAACTGACAGCACGACTGCTATTTCTATAATCTCAGGCAAAGACCAACTCGTGGGGGCCCTCCTTCATCCCAACGTGTTCTCAGCACTGTAGGCGATGTACAAGAAACCGTCGTCGGACTTGTAGCCGTCATAGATCTTCCCAGGCTTATTCTCCGTGTCAACTTCGACGACATGCAAGCTTTTTACATCGAGTGGAATTTGCAGGTTCAAGACATGGAGCTTCAAGGTGGGGTTGAAGAATGGTCTGCGCTAGGGTGTAGCCAAAATAAATCGACGACTACACGCCATTCTGCCTGCCTCGGACATCAGTGCACCCGTCCTCGGGTCAGCATCGTCAGCAAAGAGACTGTGGTACTTAGTTCCTGCATGACATGTTTGCGCGAGGCCAAGCTGAAACGAAGCTTGGCATTCTCAGCTGCCGGTTCGAAACTCAAGCATCAGGGTAACTACAGAGTTTGCCTGTTCGCGGACGTCCGCAAGCTCAAGCAAGCAACTAGCAAGAACAACCGAATCAAAGCTGCAGCTAATGACGAAGCCGAGACCCCATCACCAAAACCCTAAACAGTGAAGTATTCTCTGACTCCATTCGACACGAACATCCCAAATATAACATCGTCATACATACTTGTGACCTGTGTTTGCAAGATTGCGGCCTGGGGCCGACAACCTCAAACTCTTCTGGCGAAAACAGAACATTCATGCTCCGTAGAATGCTTTTGTAGTGTGGGGTTATAAGGATACGGTCAAGGCTAGGGCTGGTTAAAGCTCTTGTCTGACCGGAATGGGATTCGAAGCGATGCCATTGTGCCAACTGAGCCTCTTCACCGCGGTGTTACTGCGCCCATTGGTGGTGAAGAGGTAGATGACCTGTCACGATAATTTGAGGCACATGTTGAGGGCACAGTATGTTACGATACCACAAGCAGAATAGCTGCGTTGTATAAAACACACATCAATGCTGTGCGTAAGATACATCCCTGCATAAGCACGAAGCCTAAGACTAGCCGCTGAATGCAATGCCGCACATGCAATCGGACTTGCCAGTCAAGGCTTTCTATGGATTTTTGCAGGCAACTATCGCGATACATGGTCTTTCAGACGTGTAAGGCAGCATGATGTGTGCGGATTGGTCCCTGCTTGCACCTCTCTTTCCTCCAATGGAAAAATGCACAAAGCATAGTCGAACTGATTTTATCAGTTGAAGATGAATTATTGTCATTATGACTTGCTGCGCCCGGCATGTGGGAAATTCGATCCAACAAGCATCATGATTGACTGCTTCTGAGCAAGTTTGAACGGAAATCCGCTGTATTTCTTGCGCCATGTTGATCTGAACTTTCGACACTGCTCGTGCGGCCATGGTTATGATAGAAATTAGTGACTAATGTGATTTTGCGTACCTCTGCACATGCTCCTTCGTGTCCCCACTTGCACAAAGCGACCAAACAGGCATATTCAGCCAAAGCATGCGCGCCAAACGGCTGCAAAGCAGCAATTGTCCGGGTTGTACAAGACCTGCATGCCCCAAACCGCTTTGGACGGTTTACCCCCGGACTGGCGCTTCACGGCAGCGGCTGCTTTCTGACGATCCGGCTCAAAATAAAAATCAAGATACTCGTTTGAAAGCTGCCTGTAATGGGCGACGTTAAACGTTCAATGTTGCCTTTCAGGTGCAGGGAGTCTTCATCTCGAAGTTCCAACTCGACAAAGCTGTGGCTCGCGCCAAGTTTGGATTGCACGGCGGCCGGGAAGCGAATCGGGTGAAGGCCACTGTCCTCCTCACTGAAGTCCAGGCCGGTGGTTTCGAAAAGGACGCATGCTGCGGTCGCCAAAGTTGCATGGTCCCCTCCCACAAAGTTGGCTTAGGAACCTGGTAGGTATCCACGACAGCACACGGAAGTGAACATTTTTCCTTCTCCGACTTTGTGCGTAGAACGAGATATCCGTGCTGACGGTGTCGGGCAATGACATAGGAGGAGAGCTCCGTACGGTGCTGCACGGCGTGGCGCTAATGCCAAAGGCCGTGGGAAGTTCGAAGGCTGCTGCGGCTGCCCTTGAGCCAAAAACACAATTCACCTTTCGCAATTGCTGTTACCTGTCTTCCCGCGCGAGACGCCTGTTGAAAATGCGCTCCGACTCTGCCCCGGGGCAACGCTCGTGGTGATCTATAGCTTCCATGGTGCTGCTGACGTCCGTGATAGCGACAAAATGAGGAGCGAGACGTTGCTGGGTTTTTCGCAGACGATGCTAATCATGATGCCAGTGCGACCAGAGCACCACTGACGGCGACGATGATCATGATGATGATGACGGGTCCGGGATATCTGCTACTCGTACTACTTGAGTCGACATTCAGACCCCAGTAGCAAGGACCCGAAGGAGCCAAAAGAGTCACACGAACCTGGTCCGCGGCAAGGCCAGTCCCATTCGCGGCTTGTTGGATGTGCTTGTGCACAATGTACTTAAACTCTCCGCAGAGCCTGGGGAAGTTGGGTCTCGAGCTTCAGGGATTGGGACGGGTGGGCTTGCAGTAGAGGCTCCAGACTACAAGGATTTCAATACCGATGCTCTTGATGTGAGGATTGCAGAAAGTTTATTCTGTCAGATTTTGCATGGCCGACTCCAGAAGGGCCGGAGCTTGGACATAAGGTCGGAGTGGAGACTAACTGTTGGGATCCGCGGCATAACAGGAATGGCGGTGCAAGACGATCCCAAGACTACGTTGGCTTCTGGTCTCTCCCGTTCTGCCAGGCTGCATGGAACCCGGCACCAAGAACTTCTTCCTCGGTTGAAGGGACGGGACGCAACAAACGGCCGTGCACACGGACTGGTTGAGACCAAGCGACTTCTCGATCTCGGGCAGGTTGGTGCGTGGTGCCTTCTGGAAACAACATTTCAATGCTTTTCAGAATGTCTCGGCTCGGCGGTGGCCGTGGCAGGTTCTGCTTCTTCAGAAAAGCCGACCACACAGACTGACAGACCAAACAAAAGGGTGGAGCACGTGAGGGAAGAAACTCCAACCAAACAAGCACATCTATCCCATGGTTGCTTCCCGCATGAATGTCCTTCTCGCAGATCACGGGCACGCGATCCGGATACTTGCCTGGGGTGGGCTAGCAGCGCTTCCGAGTGTCGAGCTCTGACATTGAGCCCACGACGTCAGCCTATACAAACAGCCATGAAATCTTCTGACTCTTAACCCGATATTGTCGATACTGCTCCGGTCATATGCCGATAGGAGGTGCAACAGGCACCTGCAAGGCAGTCCAATGATGATGAATGATTCTCTTCGTGTGTAGCATGTCATGTGCGCACAGGTACTCAATGCGAAATCCCAGTCCGGAAGCCTCAGATTGTTGAAACGACTGAGGCACAAAAGCCTGCAGCACCTCTAGGAGTGCATCTACAAAGGCTGGGGCTCAGTACTCAACGCTCAGGGGCTTCGTAAGGTCATCTTGGTGTAAACACTTCTTACTCGGTCTATTCAATTCACATTCCACACAGAGGCTGCCCAGGATTCTTGATTGAACCAAGGCCACTTCTCGGAGACTCCTCCTCACAATCATGCTGCAGCGATGTTACAGCCAAGAATCTCAACCCTAAGTGGCTAAGAACCACGTGGGTAATAAGCCGGGCAGCCTAAACCTCCCTCAGATCAAATCGCAAAACCCGACCCGGCCATGGCACTCGCAAGCTTCGACCCCCCGTGCCCTCCGATGCAGAAAATCCTGCGGTGCATTGCTAGATCTCTCAACGCCGGGCTAGTGACGGAACCTTTCCTTAACTCAAGGGAGACATCCTCAATTCGCCCGATGCATTGCAGGCTCTGGGCTTCCCGGACAAATCAAAGCCCGACGCTACCGCCGAGGAGCTGAGAATCCTCGAGGCCTCTGCCGCGCGCTTCTCGAAGGGAACCGTCTCCTGGCCGGACAGCAAGAAGCATGGAGACATGATGAGAATGGCAACAGCGACACCAAGAAGAAGAACTATTGTAGCTGATAGCAATATTATACTCGTCGTCATAGCTGGTAGAGATAACGGTGCTTAGCACTTTCCAGAGAGTGGTTGGAGGTCAGCCAAAGGTTGGAGTTGGTGCTGTAGGCTTGCACTCTCAGGCACCGACGAGATAGGGTTTGTAGGGTCGGTTGCAGAGTTCGAACTAAAGTTGTGCGGAGGCTGGTCACTATACCTTGTGCACAACACTTCTCCCAACTCTTTCACAAAGCACCTTGCCAATGTCGGGATGAATCGTAGGGGGAGTCGAGATGCAGAAAGTCTGTGCGCGGCATGTGTGGGAGAGAGAGACTTGCTTCCGGCCTCCCCACATATCTCGATATACATGGCTAGCCGCTGGAACTCGATGAGCCTATCATGGCAGAGAATCAACCAGGGCTAGCGCAAACTACTCCTCATTTTCCTGAAGTTGGCATGACGTGATGTGCTCAGTTGGCCTACCGCATGCTGCGACCTCCATAACTTATGACTTATGACTACCAGCCCTGGGCTTCGTATTTAGGGGGTCAGGGGCTTAGAGTCTTCGCACTTCTCAAACGATGAGGGGAAGCGTCCTTCAGCGACATCGTGCAAGCCGTGCCTCAGCTCTTGGTTCGCGAATCGCCAAAAGGCTGTACTCGATGTGCACCCAAACAGCCTTAACCTAACCTTGTATGCCATACGTGCAGAACGACCGGAGTAAAAAAGCTTAATGTTTCTGGACCTCATGGGTCCGCATTTGGCGGCCCCCCCTCCCACAACATGTCCAAGGCTCCAAACTGGGAATGCGCAGTCGAGAGGGTCGTGCCTCTTGGACTTGAGGTGAAAAGGCTGCAGTTGAGCCTAAATCGCATAATGAATTGGAGGTCATGCTTTGACACCGGTCCCAACACGGTGCTAGGCTCTGTCTATCGGACTAGACTCGGCTTGATCTAAGTTCACCATAATTTTTTCATCCCGGTACGACCTTCCGGTCTTCGTTGCTGATTGGAACGATGCGCAATCTTTCCACCGAAACTTAAGATGTTTTAGTTCCTTGCCGAACTGCATCCCAAACGTACCCGACAGATGCTTTTCTCGTAGGAGCGCCTTTGCGACATCTGTTCTGCACCCCAGCTCAAGCACATACGCTCAGTCTGATCTCATATCCATCTTGACCTAAGAGCGTGCAGAATCGTCACACTGCGAATATCCACGGCTCGACAAAATTTGCTCTACCCGGCTGTCGAACTCTTCAAACGCGCTTGTCGCTGTCCTTGTGTATTCATGCGCTTGAGCTCCTCCTCGCCTTTAATCAACCGGGGTGCCTCGGCTGCCTGCCTTGTTGGTTGCTCAAGGTCTTAAGGCTCAGCCGATCTGGGCTTCAGTCCAGCATCCCGAAACGGTCGGAGGAGTGGTCTGGTGTGCAGGCAGCCAGGCATCAGGTAATTCGCTTGAAAGTCATGTTCCAACTTCTGGCCCAGGAACTTCTTACGATGTCGTACAGGGAGGTAAACATGTCAGATGCCCCGGACATGTTTACATATGTCTTGGGGCGCCCTCGAAGATCCTGAAGACCCTAAAGCACGGACCTCGCGGTGCAGCTGAGACTGTCGGCGAACATTGGGATAGCCACCAACTCGCCAATGCAAAACTAGTAGTAACAGTGGTCGTAGTGGTCGTCGTCGTCGTCGTGGTAGTGGTGGTAGTGGTCGTGGTCGTGGTCGCGGTCGTCGTGGTCGTCGTGGTCGTCGTGGTCGTGGTTGTGGT